TATCCCGGCTTTGGAGCGGGAACTGGTGGATGGGTGTCCTTCCGCCTGTCCTGGATGTTGGCATGGGCAACTGGCTTACCGTAAACGCTGCTCTATCCAGAGATCAATTTATTTTTAGTTGCCTGGCGAAACATGTAGGTTTCATGCCTAAAAAGTCACCGTGCATCTCCTGGAGCCCTTTCCCCACGCAGTCCAGCTGATGCTGAAGTGAGCGTTTGTGTTTGAGAGAGTAAAGCACTGCTTCTCAACCTTTCCAGTTATGGGTCCGTAACGCTTTCCACTGGCAGTACAGATCTCTTTGGGAATACCTCAAATGTGACACTTAGTGCTTTGCTTTTCATGTTGACCTTTCTGGGATCTCTAGGAAGGGGATTCACTGCCAACCGTGGGAGGTTCACTGCCCGAAAATCTCTGAAATAGAAGAAAAATTAAAGAGGGAGAAGTAAAAACTGAAAAGGGAAACCAAAGAGAACAGGACAGACCTTTGAATGAGGATCAAAACTCTGAAGTTAGGATTTACAAAGGGTGTAAAAACAACAGAAAAAAAAAAAAAAATAAGGTCGCGTAAGTTGCTTGGTCTTGTCTGGCTTTGTTGTATTTACCATTTAGATTTCCAGAAAGAAGTGTTAGGTTTCTCAGTCTAATCTGTGTTTGGTGTCAGCCAAACTAGATTGCTAATGATGAATTGCTTGACTTAATTGCTTCCTAGCCAAGACACGTGCAGATGAAACCTCATGATGGCTAAATCTTTTTGTTGCATTATATTTCTTTTTTCCTCTACCTCTGTGGTGGAGTACAGAATTGGAGAAGCACTCAGCATAGTCTTATAACACTAAAAAAATGCTACCATTGAATTCAAGTTCTTTCACTGTCAAAACAGTGAAAATTATTCAAAATATTGAAAGGAATACAAGGCAACTTAAATAGCATATGCTTTTCACTACCACTAGCTGATACAGATATTTTATTCTTTAGTGAATGTTATTCATAGAAAGGAAAATGGGAGGAAGGATAAGCTGTGAAGTCATACTAGCTTTTATTCTGTTTAATGTCTCAAAAATTACTTCAAAAATCATGGATGCCCAATTTGCGTACACACTGGATGTGAATAGGCACTAACTGGATTAATAACAGTCTGTTAAATTTAACAATACAATGAACATCAGGAATGAATTAATCTGAAACCCTTTTGTAACCAGCACAGCTACTTAAACGGTGTCCTTCAGCGCACACAAATATTCGTAGGCTATATGCAGGAGGGGTGGGCAAGCCGAGTGCTTTTTCACAAAGGAGGTTCTGTTCTCAGTAACATGATTCCAGTTAGTCCTGGCCAAAGCAGTGATGCCTACAGCAGTTATGACAAAGGGAAAGTATTTTTATTTTGATGGGGTTAGATCTCTTTTGTCTCATCAGTACTACGCAAGCATGAAGAAAAGAAAGGTGAGGGGGGAGGGTTTGGATGCTGGCAGCTTGAATTTATGATGTGTGAAAGAATGTCTGCTGTGAGAGTGGTATGTGAGATGTGAAAGTGTAATATTTTGAAGGTTTGAAACAAGGGAAAGAAAACCTATGCTGTGATAGAAAATATGGAAGAGAAATTCCAGGCATTTCTTTAAACATGAAGTTGATACACTGAAGATAATTTTGTTGAAAGCAAGAGATGTCCAAATACCTTGTCCTTGTCTGTTAATGGTTTAAAACAAATATTTATTTGATTGGATGGTTTGACACTTGATTTATTTTCTGTTGAAGTTTATCCTTCCATGTAAACCTCATCATCAGTGGAAAAAAACAAGGTGCTTCATTAATAGCAAAATTTGTTGAACCTGTTTTTCTGTGACTGGTGACCTGTACCCCTCTCACCCACTGCCTTTTCCTTGCAGCATTTATCTCCCATCTCATTGATGCCTTCCTTTAAAGACTCATGCTCTCAAGTGTCTCCAAGTTCAGTTTCAATATCCCTAAAGTGTCTCCAGGGCGAGAGATAGTTTGGGTTTTGGGACTCTTGTTCGTACATTGGTCTGCACGGGTTAGCAGCAGACCAAGCAGAAATGATAACAGTTAAGTTCCTGCTGTAGCGTTCCCCTCATCAGGATGGCTGATACATGTGTTTCATTTGAATCCAGATGCTAACTTTTGGAAATGGTAAGAATATAATTGAAGGAGCCCTTTAACTCTCTGTTAAACTTGACTGAACATGGCCATTGCGTTCCAGAAGTAGTTAACAGGAGCCTTGCAGAGACCACAATTGCACAACTCTTGTTTTGTTTGGAAAGGAGGCAAAACGAGTTACATTTTCTGTAAGCATTTGGTACCATATGCTGAAGAGTGATTCATGTATCTTAAACTTATTGTTGGCAATTAAACAATTCATCTCTGTAATAAAGACTGATTAAAAAATATTTCTCATAAATCAATCTTGGGTCAACATTAGACTTTCACTAGTGTAGCTGTATCAAACTTCTTTGATGTATAATAAACATAACTCTGCAAGCAGATGTCTTTAGATTCAGTTAACACCTCAAAGTTAAACGTTGGTCAGTCTAACTTTTCTTGCTACTTTAACCTGAAATAAAGGCTTTAAAATTTAAGGATTTCTTCAATATGAGATCCCAATAACATCTCTTTAACAACTCCTTTGCAGTTTTGGTTTTTTTTCCCCTAAAATGGTGATGTACTCTGCTCCATGTGAATTCCTGGAAGTTGGGTGTTTTATTTCACGACCACGTCAGAATTAAATTTGTTTGAAATAATCAGTAAGATGTCATGGTATAGTGCAATCTTACTGGAAAACTTTGGGTTTCTTTTTATACATAATTCAATGTTTTCCAATCCTCTTTCTTAGTTGCCTGTTGCTTGTCTCCAGCTTGAATCATGCAACTTATGGATCAGCCACTAAATTAACCTCACTGAAGGAATAAGACCTCAACTTTTCCTTCCTTTTGCAAATTAACATGTCATTCTGAAGTTCACTGGTGATGATGCTGTCCCAAAATGCGTTTTCTCACTAGGCTGCTATGCTATCATCGTCCTTGGTTAGGTGTGAGAAACTTAAAAGTAGTTTTTTGTAAAGAATAAAATGATAGAGTAAGTATTTACAAAAGACATTAAAAGTAAATTATTGTATCTTTGTATTATACTGTTAATTTCACCCTATTTACCTCTATGTTTTTCATTTTTCAGACATTCTTTCTAACCTGTTTGATCTGACGAGATGTGTTTTTAAGTGCCCCAAGTCCTTTCATCTTCTCAGTGTTTGGTTTCACTCATGCTTTGTGCCGTAGAGCTTTGGGTCTTTTCAGTCAGAGGTCCCGAGCAGTGTGACCTCTCTGTTTGCCTTGTGAATATTTCACCGTAATGCTTAGCTGCTTTCTCCTGACATTTCAAACCGTTCCTTGACTGGAAGGCTGGAGATCAGGTTCTAAATGTGATTGATTCACTGTATGACAAATTGTCAGTTTCTTTTTGTGTTATTTTTCCTTAGTAATACTTTACTTCTGTTTCTCTTTGTTGGTGATACTGTAGCAAAAACACACTCAGGAATATGGAAAGATCTTCAAGTCTCACTTTGGTCCCCAGTTTGTTGTATCCATTGCAGATCGAGATATGGTTGCTCAGGTCCTCCGGGCAGAAGGTAGAGCACCACAAAGAGCTAACATGGAATCCTGGCAGGAATACAGAGACTTACGAGGGAGAGCCACAGGACTTATTTCTGCGTAAGTGTTGTTACTCCTTCATTTTCTAAGTTTTCTTGTAAAAGCTTGATGATTTTCTGAACGACTGAACACGTCATCTGGGAATTCAGGCTTTTCTGTCTGGGGAAGTTTGTGTCTAGTGAGGGGAAGAGAGTAGGAGTTTATGGTGAATCGTCTGTTCTGCTGAAAATGATGCACAGTTTGTGGAGTAAGCTGCCTTGCATAAAAACAATCTTGGAGAATGTGCATCAACTAGAGATGTCTGAGCTGATTCACTTATCTGGAAGCACTATTGCAGAATTAGGGGGCTTACTAACTTTGGCACAGCACTGCGCAAATGTGGTTTTATTGCTTCAGATCTAGACTGTTGCATCCAGGTGTCAGTGTGCTGTGTGGGCTTGTTGGCTCAGGTTGGCTTTATTTTTGTTGTTCACCAAAGTGTCCCCTCAGTAGATGAATGCAGAGAAGTCACTGTATGGTAAATTCACACTGTAGTGCATCCCCATGCAGATATTTTTGTACTTGACTGATTCTGGGAGAGTTATCTGTCTGTAAAACTTGCATAAACTGGCAGTGCATGTGGTGTGGTTAATTGCCACTGGGAACTACTCACAGTCCGCACTGCCATAGAATGTTTATTTAGAAGAAAACTAATTTCCTGAGTCACGGACAGTCTGTTTCTTTCATGGTAGCAAAAAGCATCATGTATTGCACTGCAGACTCAAATCTTAAGCTGCAGTTCAGAGTCAAACTAACAGTTCCTTGATATTTTGTGAAATGAGATCTTAAGAGATAGTCAGAAAATGTCTGTTAAAGAGATTAAATTATTTTGCTGGACAATAAGTTCCTGTACCTTGCAGCAGCATTGCTCCAGGTGAAATTTAATGGGAAATACTTACATAACGATTTAAAATAAACACATAGAAGACAATTGCCTGTCTTCATAAGGAATTGAAAGATATCCTTGGAACCACTGTTCCCAAATACTCTGCTCGTATGAAGCATGCAGATGCTACATTTCAGATTTTCAGTCTTCAGCACAAAGATTCAACATATAACTCAGCTAAAAGAGAATCTAGCTGTAAATTGTTTCTCTATAGCTAGGTCTGCTATCCTATTACTCCGCAGGTTTAGAACTAGGGTAACTGAAAGTGATTTGTCAGAAATGGCATTTATGGAACTAGCTCAATTGGTTGAATTGTCAGATCTGGATGCGATGCCTTTGGTAATTAAGTACCCATTCTAGGTAAAAGCAATTTTGCCAACTATCCATTCAAGTATTTATTTAATGTAATTTTAATAAGAAAATTTAGCAAATTTTTTATGTTAGCTACTACTAAAATGCTAATATAGAGACACTTGTCAAATTCAGAACACTGAGTGGACAAGTTCAGTCACTTCAGACCAGAGACTGACTTACAGAGTTACATACGTGTTGCAAACCAGAAATTTAATGAGGACTTGTAATAAATGCAGAATAAAAGTGTAAGAGCATAATACCAAATACACATTATCACAATTTTCATTTCACCACTTGCTTTCATTTAAGTTGAAAAATCATAAAGAGTTTAATTGCAGAACTCTTACCCAGATTGTTAAGGAGAATTGTGTATAGACGTTGTGAATAATTTCTTCTAGGGAGGGGGAACAATGGCTAAAAATGAGAAGTGTACTGAGGCAAAAAATTCTGAAACCCAAAGATGTGGCTGTTTACTCTGAAGGAGTCAATGAAGTTATCACAGACTTAATTAAAAGAATCCACACCCTCAGAAGTCAAGAGGATGATGGGGAAACAGTGACCAATGTTAACAACCTTTTCTTCAAGTATTCAATGGAAGGTAAGCCTGGGATGTATAACATCTGTCAAGAAAATGGATGTAAAGCAATGTGCTTATGATTAGGCATTTTTGTCAAATGACTCATGCCCCATTGTGATTATTCTCAAAAGGGAAGTTTGATTTCTGTGTTCAGGTTTCTTCCTACTTAGTGCAATAGATATCCATGGAATTCCATTGTAGAGTCCAAAGAGGTGTCAGCTTGTAATAATAAGGGACAATTCCTGTGTAAATGCTGGTATATAGGTAAAATGGACAATCAAGGCCCTGAGCAGTTTCAGTACTCCATATTTCTGTATTAATTTCTCAAGAAGAAGGGTGTTGACATTCTAACAGTGTGTGACTTCTAAGACATGTTAATTTAACAACACACTGGCCAAATTCCAGGTGGGGAATCACTGTGGGATGTATCTAAATTAGCTTAACGTGGGAAAAGATACTGCTTTCTCCTGCCTACACATGCCAACTGTGGGGTTGTTATGCCTGCCTTAAAATCATCTGTCACTGGCTACCATTAATGAGGGACCGCTAAATGGAACTCCAGACAGAGCTAGTACAGTGTTTCCTGTGTTCTTATGGAAATCTAATGGTGATCGTATTTTGTGCATTCCTTTAACTGACTGCATACAACCTACCTTGTTATATGTAGTGTCTTTTAAAAACATTGGTGCTCATTGCTGACAGGCAGCTGAATAATTTGAGATTTGCAAGAACTTCCAAACTGCTCACCTATGAAGATGCTGTTTCAAGTGGCTGGCTGGCTGCTTGGTAAACTAACCTGAGTCTGTTCCACATTAATAGTATCTAAAAATGTAATTCAACTAAGAGTTACCAATTTTATGGGATTTTAAACTCTGAGCTTACAGATTCACTTTAACTGATGGGTTAGTTTAAATTCTTCACATTCTTTTAGCTTTTCATTTATACCTTGTGCCTGGCACATGCTTATTTCCTATAGGAATTGCAGTTTTAATTAACTTACGCTGTCAACCAATGTGTAAGAGTTTTTTGAAAAGACCACGTAAAGAGTAAAAAAATGCATAAGAACCAGCAGTTGCTGAAAGAGGCACAAGAGAAATAAAAGGCACAGAAAAGTATGTCCCCAGGGATGAAAATTAGGGAAGGGAGAGTGAGTTGAAAATAGCCAGATTTTTAAATTATTTTTGTCAATAAAGAAGAAACATGAAGCAAAGAACAGGGGAAAAAAAGTTTCTTAAAAAGGTTTATGTTTATGTATATGTATATATATGCATATACACACACACACACACTTGAGAATTTGTGGAGAGTTTGATGGGGGGCAAGACCAAGGTTAAACACCATATCTATTGTATCGGTTTTTAATAGGAGAAATAGAGAAAAAAAGAGACTAGAGTGCTAATAGACCAGTTACTCTAATTATCTAGTTAACAGTTATTCTCATATTTCCTGGAAAGATGTGGACAAGCTGTTAACGGATGAATTTAAAAGCACAAAATTTATTTTAAAACATTTAATTTGATGTAAATGGCTTTGTGAAATTATCTAAATGCCTTTTTAAATTACCTAATTACTGCACTGGATTTTAGAAAGACCATTAAATAAAATTATTTTGATAATAGGATGCTTTTGTTACTGTACCATGTGATAATTTAATAAATAAACTGGGTCATATGATCTAGATTTTGGAAGCTGGGAGGAAAAATTGCTAGAAACCTATGTTCAGAAAGTAATTAGAAATGGTTTGCTGTCAAACTGAGCAACATTTTGGCCAACTTTGGTAGGGCAGTTTCTGTCTGAGTTCTGTCTAATATTTGGTAATTTGGGTATGCTTATAAAAACTGAGCTGAGAAATTGCAGGAAAAAAAAAAGCTAAGGGATGAGTAAGAATTAACTTGATATATGGAAGAAATGGTCCAGAGTTCAGAAGAAGAATAATCATTTAATAAAATAAAGTACTGTTCTTTGGGGGGTGGGCAGAAATGGTGTTCCTTAGTAGGGATCACTGCAATACTACAGACAAAACAGCTGAGGAAATTATAGCAAGTCAGAAACGAGAGAGGAGTCAATATTGTTCTTTGCAACAGTGTCACACACATGCTGTTCTCCAGGGCCAGATGGAGTACATTGTGTGCAGTGAAACCTCTGTATAGAGTGTAAGCTCTTTATCCATTTATACACACTCATTATTCATTTGCTACCAGCTTATGACGAAGAAAGGCATAGCCATTGCTGGAAACTCCTGAACTATCACCAGTTGGCAGAAATGTCTTTGGACTTGCATGTCCCTGTGTGTTCAGAGGCCAACACGGCAGGCTCAGGATTTGTGGTGCAATGAAAACACAGCAAACATGCTGGAGGGCTGCTCCACTTCTGGTGGAATTCCTGGCCCTCTCCTCATGGTGAGCATTACTGACATTGCAGCCACTGTCTCGCTGCAGTGTTTAGCTGGGATTTTTTACTGTGTTTTAAATTTCTGTTTTATCGGCTCCTGACTGCAGTAATAACTAAACATTTTGGAAAGTAGTTCCATTATGTTAGCATTTTGATTCCTTAAATTATTAATATGTATATATGCATGTGTATAGCAAATTCTTTGATTTCATATGTGCAGGTGTGGCAACTATTCTGTATGAATGCCGGTTGGGCTGCCTGGAAAACAACGTCCCACAGCAGACTGTTGAATATATTGAGGCTCTGGAGTTGATGTTTAGTATGTTTAAGACCACTATGTATGCAGGTGCTATTCCCAAATGGCTTCGTCCACTTATTCCAAAACCCTGGAGAGAGTTCTGCAGATCCTGGGATGGACTCTTCAAATTTAGTAAGATTTAGTAGTAGAAAAGTTCAGCTGTATTTCTGCAGGTTCTCTGTGTGTTTGAACAGGACTTGCTGTATTTCTGTTCTAAAATTATGAGAAGACATTGTGGTAGAAGTAAGTTTCAGATTAAACTCAGATTTGCCAAGGGAACCATTTTAAAAAATACTCTACTAAAAAATAATGTTACCAGTACACTTTAAATATTCCCCTATTTTATGCTGCTGTTTCTTTATTTGTCTTAATCTGTTTCAGTGCCCAGTCCGGGTCCGAGTTCTTTGCCAAGGCTTTATCTAAAGCCACTCAAATTTTAATGAGGGTGGTTTTGTTGACTTCAGCAAGTTTTCAGTCAGGCACTCTGACAAATAACCACAACTAAAACTGACTAGAAAGTTACAAAATGAGACTCTAGCAATTAATTAAACTCTTTGTGAAGTTTACATATACACATACAAGCAAGTAAGTTGTCATAGAAGTACACTGCTGTGCTACAATATGTTTTTTTGTGAATAAAGCATTCCAGGCTACTTTATCAATCAGCTTTCATGTAAGTAAGAAGAACGAGTTGTCTTTGCAATATATTTTTTTAATATTCTGAAGTGTTTAAAAAACCTTGAACCCTTTTCCCCTCTCCCTCTTAGACAGCTGCATGCATTTTTAAATTTATTTTATTAGCACTATCTGTCTAGGTAGGCCTGTGTACGTCTTCTTGACTCTAGATTATTTAGTTTCTTAACTTTTAATATGACTAATATGCTTCATTTTAATATGTGTTGATCTGCACCTACAGTAGGCATTAGGGAATCCATTTATTGCTGATACAGGTGTGTTTTCTGTGAAACACATATTTTTTACACTACCACTTTTGAATAATCCCATTATAAAGCACTCTTGTTATATTTAGTGGGTTAAGAACAACAGCAGACTTCAGCTTTTTCCTAACAGCAGCTCAAAAACTGTTCTTGATGAATTTGTTCTACTTGAAACTTGTTATCCTGTTTCTTTGTTTAATCCCTTTGTGAAAAAAGAATTAAATGGTGAGAATCACTGTATAGGATATGTGTGTTTGTGGGGGTTTCGTAAAGGAACATGTTGATTCTAGTTCTTTTTTTTCATAAGCTCATACTGTGAGGCATTAACTTTCTGAGGAGTCTTCCTCTTTTTAAAGCCCTTGTTTCACTGAAGATGCTGTTTGTAGTCACTAAAGTATAGATGGGACTGTGGGTGAAATTGCTCAAAATGTCATTCACTGAAGTTTTTCAGTTTTTGTTTTTACTTGGTGCTCCTCATCTTTGTCTTCAGTGTGATTCAGTTATGTGGCTTTGACCTTTGGCTTGCTGCTAACTTCTTGTAGCAGCTGCTCTGTGCTGACTTGCAGCATGCTCTGCAGAGTTCACTACTTCTTGCAGAGTCATCAGAAAAGAAGCCAGGTGGGCATAAAAACTTGACCTTGAGCTTCCTTCACTCCCAGTCAGAAAATAGCCTCCTGTGTTCTTTCCTCACCCTCACCATTCTCATGCTGTGAGATACCAAGGTTCCTGTCAGCTGTCTTTCCTTGCTGTGAGTACCCAAGGACCTCCACCACCACTCTTTTATCTTTTCCCTGAGAAAACAGATTCAAATATTTTGTGTTTTTATGGCTAGGTAGTGTAGCATAAGGGGGCAATGTCATTACTGAATGGAACTGGCAGAAAAATAAAAATTAAAGCTTAACCATTTTTTTTTTAATCCCAAAGGTCAAATCCATGTTGACAACAAATTGAAGGCTATTCAATCTCAGCTGGATCAAGGAGAAGTTGTGAATGGTGGGCTACTTACATACCTCCTAGTGAGTAAGGAACTTTCTTTGGAAGAGATCTATGCCAATATGACTGAAATGCTTCTGGCAGGAGTGGACACAGTAAGCTTGTTAGCTTTTTTCTTGTGCACAATTGTTTTTTGTAGACCAGTACCATTCGCAGCTATCTTCAAGGGGGTTATGTTGCTTATAAGGACATAATTTCTGATACGTTTAAGTCATTACATCTTTAAAATGACAGAAAATTCTTAAAGCACTTCACTAGAATGAAGTCAGTGTTCTGTTCTAGCTGTGATTTACAGGAACCCTTCATTTGGGAGTCAGTTCCACAGTTTGTTACATGGATAAAAGAGCAATTATCTTTACATTCGACTCTAATTTCATGCCTTTGGTTTTCCTACCTTAAATATTAGGCTTGTATTTGTGCTTCTTTAGGTAGACCACAATAGAAAAGACTGCTGAAAGTTAGTGTGAAAAAAATTGATCAATAAACTCATATGTAGAATTTGGTAAAGGATTTTTATATGTGGACAATTACATCAACAGGGACACGCATAATGGATCAGATACCTGGTTTGTGCTGAAGCCCATTAGGAGGGAGTTCTTAGGTGAGCACTAATGTGGGTAAGGCATAAGTTTGCCACCCATGCTTGTGCTGGCAATGTACAGTCAGTCTGAGGCAAAGAGCCATGGTGATGGAGCGCAGCATTAATGAGGCTGGTGTATGAGGTATGTTAACACCTAGTGAAGCATTTTATGTGGCTGCCTTTCCTTATTCTTCTGATTTGTCACCTAGAGCATTTGAAGAAACCTAAAGGTCACGTATATATCTTACTCTGCTTTCATTCCTGTCACCTGAAATCAGTGTAGCTCAGTATTGACTGCAGCATGACTATCAGAAGAATTAGAAAAGATAAGAATGAGTTATTCTATTGTATATACAGTGTATATGGAGTTAGAATATCAATTAACACTATTATTGTAAATTACTGTAAATAAGCAATTTTGAAAAGAAATCTATATTAATTTGATAAAGAAAGTAGGACTGTGTTTAATAGTCTTACAGTAGAAAATATTAAAATAACTAAAAAACTAAAGTAGTCTTAAACTAAAAAAACCTCTCTGGATAATTAGATACAGATTTATTTTTTTTCAAGAAAGTTTGTAAGGTTTCTAAAGAAAATTAAGAAAACCTCAACAGTAATGCTTTTGAATTCCAAAATAAGGAGCATATGTAAAGCGTATTTATGTGCTGATGATTATTCCATTGGTTAAATACCCCAAGGGCTTATGAGTTTGGAGAGGTTTTTGATGTTTGGTTCTTAAGTAAAACACAGTTATTCATCCCATTCATTTCCTAATCTTTCTGACCTTAATTTTCCGTTTTTAGTGTGTGAGAGAGTTTTCATTAAACTGAAAGGACAGTGTTCAAGTTCATGCCAACAAGACTTTCTCTTTCCGTTTAACTCAGCTTTCTCAGCTGGTAACAATCATTTTGTTAGAGGACGGTACTTCTGATTTCCTCATTTCCAAGTACAAGACAGAAATTAAGGGAATCTTTTTTCCCCCTACTGCTGTCACTTCAGATCTCATTTTATCACAGAAAATGAAAGAGGTTTAGAGGATTATAAAGGCTTCCAACAAAATTGTAAGGCAGTTTTTGGCTTCAAAGCATTTTGGCTGTCCCTGGAACAGTGCTAGTTTTTAAGAGGTTAGGAAGGAGCTGGGAACCTGGGAAGAAACAGAGTTTGTATCAGAGATGTTCTGTATACAGCTGGCACAACTGCCAGATCCTCTGAGCTCTGGGAGGATTAAGGCAGGGTTGCATTTTAGCAAGGGACAGCCACTCAAGATAACAGGAAGAAGGAAGGTTCTGAGAATTCTAGCATTATACCCCAGTTTGAAGACAAGACATAAAAGGTCACCGTCATGATGAATTTGCATTCTAAATTGATCTTAAAGGTAAGCCCAAAATAAGACATTTCTAGAAGTTGGGTTTTTCACCCATACATTGTTTAGAACCTTAAGCTTTGTTGTGCCAATGTGTGAGAAGCTGAAAATTATTTCCTGCCTAAAAAGTGAAAGTGGTTGTCTGTCTTCATTATACAAGTTGAAAAAAATGCATTTAAAAATAATTCGAGAAAATTAGGGTAGAAGTTACAGTTTTTCTCTTAAACACTGTCACACTTGTCAGTGGTGTCCACTTGGACATCAAGATGTTGACCGCAACTCTTTGGGTGCGACTATCCAGCCAATTCCTTATCCACCGAGTGCTCCATCCATCAAATCCATGCCTCTTCAATTTAGAGATGAGGATGTCATGCAGGACAGTGTCAAATGCTTTGCACAGGTCCTCGTAGATGACTTAGCAGTGATAATATCAATTCTGTTGTGTGGGTGCATTGAGGAGACCACCATATGCTTAAAAGGGGTTGGTAATATCCTAAGTAGCATTCTCTTATCTTGTTTCCTGTGAAATGTTTTTGTTGGGAAGGTGAAACATGTTGAAAACTAACAGTTAACTTAATCCACTGCTGTTTAGAGTGATTATGTTTCAGTACTGGTTCTGTAGTTTTGTTTGCGTTTGTTTTTTCTGTTGCTTTTTAATATTTCACTGGGAAAATATCAACATGGGCTGTTTTGATACATGGGGGATTTTTATACAGAACGGAGATGGAGAAGGGGATGTTGAAGTCTGACAACATCCCATTGAGTCCAGATGTGAATCATTGCCAGTCTGTTTTATAACTTTAAACTTACAAAACACATAGTTGAAAACTGATTGTTTTTCTTGGCTCGAAATTATTTTTAATCTAATCTTGTTGGACTTGATGATGATGATTGTGGTTTCTTCCTTAGACTTCTTTTACATTGTCCTGGGCAACGTACTTGTTGGCAAAGCACCCTGAGGCTCAACAACGTGTTTATGAGGAAATAGTTCATAAGCTGGGGAAAGACCAAGTTCCTGTTGCTCATGATGTCCCAAAATTGCCTTTGATTAGAGCTGTGCTGAAAGAAACGTTGAGGTAAGTAGCAGACAACTGCAATCATTAATTAAAAAAATCTAATTCCATGTAGTTGTAATAGATTGAGTCCATGCTAAAGTTTGTATTTAGTTGTTACTGCTATTTGCCACTTCTGCTTTCATTTATTGTAGCAGTATTGTGTCCAAGGATGCCCCAGCAATGGAATATGATTGTTTATATAATGTTTAATGTTTTTAAATGTGCTAGAAGTCTGTAGGACATGTCTGTTAAGGTAGGTATTTGAAAGCTTGATTTTTGCCTTTTAAGTACTTGTGTGATGGACTGTTAACAACCTCCTCCCCCATACACTACTGCAAAGTCGTACTTTGCAGTGCCACTACAGTAATTTTAAGCTTCTTAACTTAAATTGAAGGCATGTGACATGCTTTTTTTATACGTTTATACCAAATGTTCATAGGGAGGTGAGGGGAGCAAGAAGATTTTAGAGAAGGCATTGAAAAGGCTTTTTCAGCTCCCAGTAGTGCTAAAACATCTCCAGCTTGACCAGTTGATTTCATATTTGTACATGTGTAAAGCAAATAAATATATAGCCAAAACTGGTAAATACATTTTCTCAGGTATTAATCATGTTCTCACAGATGATTCAGGTCTTTGAATCTCCGAGGTATTCTCTACTTTTGAAAAATCTTTTTGCTGAATGCTGTGAACGCACACTGCATTCGTATTTTATATTTGTGAATGCAAACTGGAACCTAAACTTTTAAAGTTGTATTAGTTATTACTGCTGAACTTCTCATTAATATTTGTCTCTAGGTTATATCCAGTATTGCCAGGAAATGGAAGAGTGACCCAAAAAGATTTGATCATTGGAGGATACTTGATACCTAAAGGGGTAGGTTATATTGAAGTCCTCTGCACAAAACACAGTTTAATTTTTGTGTATGAAATATAATCTGTTACAACATATATACACTTCGTTGATTTCAAAAGATTTCAGCAAGCTAGAGCATTAACAAGAAAGTATTTCGATAATATTGATTTATATTACAAAAATGGATTTTATAATTGACTTGTTGCTATTATTTTTAGATTTGGGTCCTCAACCACTACTAATCAGATTTACCATCATGACTTGTTCTTCATATTCTTGTGGGTGGAGCCTATTAATAACATCTCTGTGCCATGTTACGATTTGATTAGAAAAGCATGAGTTTAATTATTCTTGAAGTTTTTCAATTTTTGCCTGTTAATTCTCTTTGTAGGAAGAGTTTAATTTCCTTTTAAATTATGAGTCTTTCCTTTATACTATTCAAAGATTACACAGAGATCATGATAGAACTGTATGGCTCTATTTTAAATGACAGCACTTCTGTGTTAGAGCAACATAGCTTTAAAACAGTCAGGATTCTTAATTCTTAATATACTTGTTTAAATATTATTCTCCACACATTCCTCCATTTTTTCCTTTTCCATTGTATTGTATCTCTCTTCTCCCCTTCTGTCACACTATCTTATTGAGACAATTCCCAATACTTGTGACTTTTGTTCCCATCTCCTTCCCCACTGCATCCAGCAACATTTAAAACAATTTGAAGAATATTTCGTTTGACCAGTTTATAAAGGGGGCTGATTTTCTAGGTATACTTTTTTCTTCTAGAATTACTCAAAGGTACTTAATTTTTATCACCTCATATTGCAATAATTACAGTAATTACAAATGCTTTTTTATTTTGTTATGTGTATTGGAGTTAGCTAAATATAAATATCATTTATTTCCTCAGACACAGCTGGCACTCTGTCATTATACTACTTCATACAGTGAAGAAAATTTCTCGATGGCAAATGAGTTCCGACCTGAACGCTGGCTGAGGAAAGATAATTTGGACAGAGTAGACAATTTTGGTTCCATCCCCTTTGGTTATGGCATTCGAAGTTGTATAGGAAGAAGAGTTGCAGAGCTGGAAATTCATCTTGCACTGATTCAGGTTAGAACTATGTGACAGCATTACAAGAAGAAAAATATATTGGTATGATTCTTTTCTATGTATACCATTTCTGCATATCTTACAGTGCTCAAAGACTTTGTTTTGGGGTGTTGTCTAGCATGCTCATCCTGCAAAGGCTTAAAACGTTGGAAATAATCATGCTTGAAATGTAGCATACTAGTTAAACTACATTGGCAGAAGAAAAAAATCTTTATAGTACAAATGAAGTAAAACTAAAGGTAAGACTGCTAAGGAAATATATGGTTTTAGTACACAAGGTCTTTGTAAGCAAATTGGAAGTCTTTCTTAACGTATATTAGAGGGGTTACCTGCTCAGTTTCAGTATTTTAGTTATGAAGAATTCAGTACTTAAAAAAACCATAAAATAGTTCTTATATCCTTGTACTGACCACAGTGTTACGACAAATAGTAGAATTTTTCTATGTTCTGTGGTTTTCTGTCCCTTCTTGTTCTTTCTTCTAACTTTATTATAATTTTAGATATACATTATTTACAGTTATATAAGTAGTTAGTACATAGTAATATATATTGATTTCCATTGCTTCATATCATAAAGAAAGCTTTCCCAATGGCTGTTACATTTTTTATCATTTACAAGACACCTTTGAACTCAAATACTGAGATCAGATAGTGCAATCAAAGCTCAAAGATTTGGAAACTATTTATAGTTACTTAACTATAAAAATATTTAGACCCATGACATGTATTCGAAGCAAAGCTTGATTGAATTTGCCTTAGAATTTCCTTCAGTAAACTCCGAGAGCAATCTCTGAATGGTTAGAGTCTGTCTTTTGGAATTCAGAGTGAGATAGCTTTCAGGGGGCTGGATAAAACAAACATACTTGCATCTTTTTGAATAGGAGGATCAAGGAAGTAACAGAGAACCTGCTTTTGTTTTCTGGAAAGAAACTAGAACAAAATAGCACACAACCTATTTACAAGCATTAAGATGATACTTAAGTAATTTAAAAATAGAAACACACGAAGCATGGAGCTGATGAATGAGAAATTGTGTCAGACCAGTTTGACTTTTTTCTTTGACTTGATCACTTACTTGATGTGGTGGATGTAGAATAAATCATGTATTCTGACTTCAGGAAGTATTTTCACATGTCCTATACACTGTTCTCACAATTAAATTAATAAAATTTGTTCCAGATGGAAGTACCTATAAAATGCATGCACAACTGGTTGGAAAAAAGAAATAGCTGGAGGCAGTAGCTGTCAAATATTTGCTGTTGAACTGGAAAAACGCTTAATTAAAATTCTATAAGAGTCTGTCCTGCATTTGATTTAGGTTGGTATTTTCATTAACAGTGTAAATGATGGATTAGAAAATACTAATTAGAGTGTACATAGGGTATGAAGCTGACATGAATTAAGTTAAAATCAGAGGTTTTGAATATATAATTATGAAAAAATGGAGAAATGTTCCAGAATCAACATAAAATTGTTCACTAAGGACAGTTGCAAGTTACTGCTCTTGAGAAGAAATCAAATGCATAAATACAGATTGCTGACCAACTGGCTGGGTAAATAGTACTGTGGAAACAGACTGGAATGATACAGTAAAAAATCAGTCAACAATAATGATGCTAATTCTGACGAGGCAGTGTAATTCTTGGATATATTAACAGTATTAACAAACATTGTTTGTCAGAAGGAAGAGCTAAATTACTCAGTCTTACCAAACACTGGTGAATCCTCAGCTAGACAGTGATATGCAACTGACCCTGTGTGCTGCATTTTAAAGACAATATAGTAAAATTGGAGGAAATTTGGAAGACAGAGAATAACAAGAATGGGAGGCTTGAGAAAGAGAAGAATGAGATGAAAATTTCATCGAACATCTAACACTGAAAAGGTAGTTATGTATAGGAAATGAATGCATTGTTCACCATGCTTACTAGGAGAAGGATAAGAGAAGATTACTTAGTTTATAGGAAAAAGTGTTTGAGATTTAATATTAGGAAAAGCTGAGAATGTTGAAGTGTTTCCTTCTTGAAAATTTAAATAGCTGAGATATTCTATGTTCAGTTTCAAAACGGGTGAGAGAAATCTCTTGAAGTTTGTTTCGCCCGTGATTTCTGTGGTTTGTGTTTGCAACTGAGTCCCTCAGTTTCACTAAGTATATGGAAACAGAGGTTTAATGTATAGACAATTTGTGTGATTGAATTACAGTGATCCTGTTCAGGAGAGGTTCTAATACTTGACTCCTTGAATTATAATGGTTTCAGTTGGTGCCCTGGACAGTTCCTGTCTCGTGTTTGTTTTGTTTCCTTTTGCCCAGGAAGAGAAATGTGTGCGATGGGATTGGGACTCTTTTATTGCTTTGTTATAATTGCACATACTGATTTATATTAAAGGAAGTGAAATCAAAAACAACATAGAGAGGAAGCTCTCGAGGTTTGAAAGACACTTTAGTTTCTCTGGTAGCTCAGACTGTTTAATCTAATTGTGTGGAAATTCTTCAGAAAGGACTGGCTCAGTCATCCCTCAGTCAGAGGGGGAAGATTTTTAAGTATCATCTTCACCTTGTGTAAGAACTGTATTTTCTTTCCTGAGTGGGAAACGTCGCATTCAGGCTCCACAGAATTGGCAACAGAAATTTTTTGTGACAGTCTGTCACGTTCTCTTCTCCAAAATCTAATCTTCAGCTGTAATTTGCAGCTTTTCTGATAGTTGTCCTGTTTATCTTCACAGTTGCTTCAGAATTTTGAGATCAAAATTTCGCCCAAAACCGAACCAGTTCATGCCAAAACCCATGGACTTTTGACTCCTGGAAACTCCATCAATGTGAGATTTTCTGACAGAAAATGAGACTCAAATGTTTTGGAAATACTTGTGTGATTTTCATGGGAACAGACTTGCATCTCGTGGATGTTTAATCATGCTTGTCCTCTGGTTTCTAGGTATCTGGCAAAATGATCAAGTATTGTGTTCTGCCTTAGTTCTAGCAGTACCTAAGAGATTTTACCTCTCCTGTAATAGATAATTACACATTAAAATATATATTGGAAAAAATCCTTGCACTGGGAATCTCTCTTTACATGGAAAGATTTCTAGTAATAACATATGCACTGAAAAAAGCCCAAAACTAAATTCAGACATGTTGGTATTCAGTGGTTTTGTTACATGGCTTTGTCATAAATGTCAACTGCTCAGTGAGTCTATTTGAGAGCAAGAGGTTTACTATATAATATGTGAAAATTACCTGCATTTATGAATTTGTGCTTTCCTGTTTCTTGTCCTCCAGTGTTTTTTTTAAAGGTTTCACCTAGCATTGAAGTTATGAGATCATTTTTCTATTGTCTGTAAAAACGTTTCCTCTATGTGTACTAAAAAAATAACACAGTATTATGAAAGTAAAGATAGAAAAAACACAATTCATGTAACTTTGTTTAGACTCAAAATACAGAACAATTAAAAATATATCCAAACATAATCCCCATAAAATGTTTCTATATATTTTTTTTAGATTAAAAATATTCAAAATAAAAGTTTAATTGTCACATTGTAGAGTTATGAACCCAGATGTTGTCCTCATCACCAAGGCATAAGCTGAGTGGAACAGCACAAGCCACTTTCAGTGTTCTAGCTAATATTATGCCAAAACCAAATGTAAATAATAAAAATGAAACAGTTGTTACATTTTAATAATTTGATTAAAAAATTAGTATTAACTATCTTCACAGTTCTTCAACAGTAAGAACTGGAAACTTCCCATTGTAACATGCTGAACCTATAGGCAGGTGCACAGTTACCTCCTGTAGGATGGAAATGTGACTACTGAAGTATTTGGAGATTTTTTTTTTACTATCTGGGGTCCAATACAAAGAGTGGACACCTGAAAGGCTTTTTTTTGTTATTATTTTATTTTTCATACAACAACTAACAAAAAAGTCTCTCTTGCATGATACTTCAGTCTTTAGATAACTTTAGCATCACTGCGCTAACCATACGTTCTCATTTTTGAGAGAAATGTTACACCTTGGGACCATGTTATGCCTTGAACAACGCTCAAACCTGCATATCCTAATATGAAATGAACTATGTATAGTTAACTGTTTACATGTCAGGCTTGTGACATGACTTTTGCATGTCAGGCTGTTGTTTGTGAGGTAGTTTACCTACTGATAATCATAAACTTTCCAGACACATGCAGCTAGAAAAAGTTGTGCAACTCAGTTTTTAAACTGACAACATTTTTCTTTGCTCATCTAGCTATTAAAAAGTCAAAGCAGGTTACAAATTAAATAACACACTGTAGTTTTAATGGTGTACATGAAGTTCCACATAGCTAACTACTACAGTCACGTTGTTGTAGTATTTTGGTTACTTTTTGTAGTGTCTTTTCAAGGTCTTCACAAAAAGAAAAAAAACATCTCCTCTGTATGGATCTTGTATATAAAATAATAACACTAAACAAAATTGGTCTGATCTGTGGAAAGATAAAATGTTTACATGATGGCTTTAAAGTGATAATCCTGTATTGAGCATATGTTTGTAGTATAAGGAAAACAGGTAATCTGTGGAGGGTTTTTCCCTTGAATTGGCTTGCCTTCTCATGCTGTTTTCCAGGACTTCACATTATTCTGTTTTTTTTTTTCTTTCCATTGTTATTTCCAATTCTTCCATCTTAAATACAATGAAGAGAGGTGTATTTGCCAGAGCTAGCTGACATCCCAGAGGAAATGTTTTGCAAAGGTCTGTTTAAAAGTCTGTGGACTGACTATTTGACTCCATAACTTTGCCTGGTTTTGTTGAAGTGGGGATCAAAGACCCCAAGCCTTGAATCCAAATTTGGATTCTGTATGGTGCCCTCCTTTTGCTTTGTCATAGTGTCATTAGAAACATTAGCAATTGCTATGTTGAGTACATTTGCTATTTGGTGTCAGTCCCTGATAATACTTCACTGTAGAAGAGGGAAGAGGCATTCTAAAATGCTTTTTAAAGCATTTGAATCTTTTAATGAAAACAGAAAGCCTGTGATTTGTTTTAATAGAGCATCTATCCATGTAAGTTGTCTTTTATACATAATAAAATATTTATACAGAATTTACAAGTCCTGGTTCTCATTTTGATTGTTATTTATAATTGCATTTTTAGTGTCTTAAAATTTTTACCTTGTTGGATAGAACTGGAAAATTTACTGCTACATGGGAAATTACAAGTTCAGCTAGAAAAGACGGGGATTCATACAAGAATTTGAGGTGTGTAATGACCTGGCTGAAGGAGAGATATTAAGAGTACTGCGGTTCTGGGAGAAAGTTACTGGCAAAGTTACCCAAGAAATACCCTAGGGCAGATTCTAATGTAATGTTTTGATTAATGATAATTTTTTAATACATAGAAGAGTTTTAATGACATAAAGAGTGAAGGCATAAATATATTAAAAAAACCCCCCAAACAAACAAAACCAAAACAGAACCCAGAATGTAATAGAGATGGGATGGAATTTCATAGCAAAAGACATGTATATAGGGAATAGAAAGAACTTATTTGAAAACAAAATGTGTAAAGGAAGATCTAGGTAATCACAGATGACAAATGGCAAGTGGGTTGGAATAATGAGAAATAGAGTCTAAAACGTACGAGATGGAGTATCTCTGATAGAGATTGGGGAAGGATAAGTGATAACTGCATCTTAAGTGCTATGTACAGTGTGGTTATGTGTTCAAGAAAGGGAGAGCTTGATTTGAACAGGAAAGGTGACTACTAAGATTATCCAGTTAATAAATTTTCAGTGAGTGGAGAAAGGATTATGCTACAATTCTTTTGCTCTGCCTCCCTGTGGTTTAAGCAGACCACAAGCTTACAGAACAAGCCCTGGCACATCTGGAAGCCGTGTAACCATGGGCTTAGTGGAATCTGTATCTTTGGACGCAAAGTTGTGCTGGTTTGATTACGCTCCTTCCAGTTGAATTAGATAGCAAGTAGCAGAAACATGGATGTCTGCAAGAGACTAAATGTGTCCTCAAAAATATTCATATAGTTAGTCTAGAAAGGTGGATATTGAGAGAGGAGATAAATGTTCTCTTCAAATACCTTCAAGTTAAGGTGTTTACTAGTTAAGGTAAAGGGCAATGCTTGCCCAAAACAAGTATCACCAGCTCACAATGAATGGACGGGTGTAGAAAGTTTCAAGCCATCAGGAAAATGAGGGTTTAGAATAAAATTACTGTGAGAAATGGTGAAGACAAAAAAAAAAAAAAGTATCGGCAACCAGCCATGAAATGATGGAGCATGGTGAAAAGAATTCTATAAAGTGATTGTTTAACTAGAATCACTGTATTCAGTCAGTTTGTTCTGTTTTTTCTTACTCTGTTGTAGGTACATAGGCATGGAAGGAATCTATGAGGTCAGTGGTGAAGCAGTCACAACTCCAGCAAAATTGTATGCCAGTGGTGTATGAAACTTATGAGCTCCTTAAATACCCCAGCATTGAAGTGGCTGTGAAGATGGAGAGTAGCATGCCTGGCAGCTGTGAACATGAGAGAAGTAGGCACTGGTACTGTGTTTGGAGCTAGAAACAGAAGAGTTGTGCTGTCCTGCACAAGACTGGGCAAGGGGAGGAGGAGAGCCATGCAGAGTGGAGGCTTTGGGGCTGTACCAAATAATCTGTGGAAGCATACATGAGATCAAAGTTAAGGAACAGGAGAGGTGAGCTGTGGACTGCATGTAGGATGAAGGAGGATGAGAGAAATGGGATGAGGCAAGAGCAGTTTGGGTGCCTGACATGTGTATGATTTGCACCATATACCAAGAAAAAAAAGTGCCACTACTGTTTTTGATCATTGTGGTTTTTTCCTTCCTTTGTTATGTGGTCACATAATCTTCATAACTTAAAAAAAATGCTGTCATATAATTACTGAAGATTTACATCTTTGGTGATGCCAGACTTCCCCTGTGCGTGCCCAGAGAAAGACGAGAAAGACACTGAAGTGATATAAGAAATCACAAATTCTCGCTGTTCCAGAACAATGTTAGTTTGCACGGACAGGCTCCCATGGAGCCAGATGCATTGGAGGGTTTTTCACATCCTGAAATGTTAATGGAGGATTTACAGGGTCATGTAAAAAGCAGATGGTAGGATGATTTAAGATGCTACCAAGTTGTAGCCACAGCGCTGCACAGGTACTTAGCATGGATGTAAATACATACGACAATACAATCACTATGGAAGACAAGTCCAACAGGTGTCATACATCGGACCCTTCTGATTTTTACAAGGTGATTGTCTGTGTCATGGACTGTATATGTTGAAGCAAAATAAACTACATTTCACAGGAACGTGTGTTGGAAAATATTAGGGAAGAGGTCCAAAGTTGCTGGATATTTCTTACTCACAGATAGGTTTTTATCTAAATTTTGCACCAGCAGTAGCAAATAATAAAGTTAGATGGGAAGGTATGAGTAGTAACTATTTTAATGTCTGATAATTTAAAAAAATATATTTATACATATGTGTATTTATGCACAAAAAAGAAAAATATTTGATCTTCTGTGATTAATACACAAATTCACATACCTTTTTTCCTTTCAAATTGTATTAACACAGAAAATAAGTAAATGTATACCTAGAGCTTGAAAATATTATTTATTCATGTTCATGCTGAATTAAAAAAAAACCCCACAAATAAAACAATGCAGATGTCATGTGGATATTTTAAAACTCATTTCATCCAAGAGTTTCCCCTATGGTTTCCAAAGTCATTTTCTTCAAGGAAACCACTGCAGATACTACACTGTGGTTTTGGCAACACTAGGTGGTGCTGCCTTTATAGTATTCCTTAGTAAAATTCCGTGATCTGTCCATG